AATGCTCGCATGCTAGTGCTTGTATTCACTCAGTACATTTCAGTAAATTTTTGGAGATTCATTCAGTGTATTTCAGTAAGTTTTTTGAGATTCATTCCAAATCCAGGAACTCCAACGCTGCTATACTCTGAATGCTCCTGGTGGCATTTCACAATTCCCATGTGGCGCTCTTTCTGGATATTTACTTCCCACAACCTTGCTATATTGTGAGGTTTGCTTCTCTTTCTCTTCTTTCTCCTAGACTTACCCCTCTCTTTCTCAGAACCATTACATTTCAGGTTTATGGATTGAATTGCGCCCCCCACTCAAACGACCCCCACTCACTGAAGTCCTAACACTGAGTAGCTGAGCATGTGATCTTATTTAGAAATAAGGCCCTTACTGAGGTAATTATGGTAAAACGAGGTCATTAGAGTGGATGGTAATCCACATGGCTTGTTTTCCTACAAAAAATAATTGAAACACAGAGATAAGCACAAAAGGAAATGTCACATGAAGATAAAGGCAGTGACTGAGTGATGCATCCAAAAGCCAAAGAACATTTTAAAAAAACAGTGGGGGGAGGAAAAAGAAACTAAGAGACAGAGAGATAGAACAGATTTTCTCTCACAGAAGGAAGAACATTGTGGACTTCAATTCTCCAGAACTGGGATTCAATAAATTTCTGTCATTTAAGCCCCCTAGTTGGAGAAACTTTGACAATTCTAGCAGATTAATGCATCCAGCTGTGTACCAGCATGTCTACTAGCTGTTAGGAAAGTGTAATGGTTCTTATCTTTTTACTCTGTCACCACAGGCATACTCAGTACAGTTTTTTTTTTTCTTTTTTTGTCATGCAAGAGAGTTACATACTTACCTTAGGGACTACATTTCTCAAACTCTAAAGTGAAGGGGCACCACCCCCCCAAAATGCTTTTATAACTGTCTTCCTTTTTATGGGGATGATATAGCGAAGGGCAAGTTTGTTCAGCACCTTATAGTCTTACAAAAACAAATCTGGATTTTATTCTATTTGAGTGAGGAAGCTATTGGGGATTTTGAACAGGAAAATGACAGTTCTGATTTGAATTTTTAAAAGGTTTTACACCTATTTACAGAATAGTTGGTACAGAGGTAAAAATATAAGCATGGAGAACAATTGAGAGAGAATTCCTGCATCTGGCATGGTGTAGTGGATTGATAACTGGTGGACAATTTATAACCCCTAACTGAACTGAGTAAGCATGGTGCGGCGTATGGGAGGCCCACCTGGGGATTGTTGCCAGCAGCATAAGAGGCATAACTGGAGAAGGAGAAGGTGGCTCTTGGGAGTAGAGAAATGTTGTTGGGAACTGGTGGAAGCTGTAAGGAGCTGTTGGTTCTGTTGTAGGAGCTCATCACGCTGGCTTTCCTCATGAACTTGGCTGTTTTCATCCTCTGAGGAGCTTAGGACCTTGTTGGCACTGAGAATAGCTTCAGTTCACTTTGGGGAAACTCTGGTCCTCACTCTGAGCATCACCTCCTGGCTCTGGATGGGAAGAAGGTACACATCTCATTCTCCTGAAGGAGCTTGCTGCATTGGCTTTCCTGATGGGGACTCAGCTGTCTTCACCATTGGAGGAACTCAGGACCTCACTGTTGCTGAGGATGGCTATGGTACCTTTCAGGGGAGCTTTGGTTCTTACTTTGTGCATTGCTTCCTGGCTCCAGTGCAGATCCCTCAGTGTGCTAGCACAGATCCTTCATCCCACTGGCACCGACTTCCTAGATTCCACCACTGACCTTTGGGCCTTTGCAGCGCAGATCCATGAAACAGGCCTGAATGAGATATTGTTATGGGCTCTGGGCCTCCAGTTGAACTTGTAGAAGGCATTGTTATGAGCTCTAGGTCTTAAGCTGGATTCATGCAGGACATTTCCGTGGGTTCCAGGCCCTCAGCTGGATTCCTTGGTCTTAGTGTGTGGACAGATTTCCTGCACTCCTTTGCATATCGTTCTTTGGGTGATTATTATAAATAATCATATAAAATATGTGTCCTGTATTATATATTGCTCCTCCTTGCAAAATAACCCCCAAACCAATACGCATGGACTGAAGTGATAGCAGTAGAGATGGTGAAGGTTAGATTTAGGGTATCTTTTGAAGAAAGAGCCAATAGGTTTTGCTGAGGAATTGTTCATACAATGCGAGGAAGAGAAAAAGGAATCAAAATATGACCTTTTTTGTCCATTTATAGGATTTTTCATGGTTATATTTACTATGAGGTATTTTTGTCATAAATGCAGAGTTCAGAAATTAACGTCTGCTGGGGTGCAACGACAGCTTTCCACAACTATTTTTCATCTATACTATTTATACAGAAGATTGAGAAGTATAATAAAAAGGAGTGGTGAGAAAAACTGGAGTTCTTGGCTTCTCTAGAGATGTATAAATTAAAACCATAAATAAACAAATAATCTTATACAATTTAGATGGCTGTTGGAAGGGATTTGTGCCCATATATATATATATATATATATATAACCTAAAAAAGTTGCAGTATATATGTCGAGTCATGATTGTAGTAGTTCTTACTAAGCATACATAGGCTGCAATAAAATAGTTAAACCCACACACATTTTTAAAAATTTTCTTTCTTTTCTCCTTACAGATCTGTAGGAGATAATTTTGTAGCCAGCAGAGACTCAGCCTACTTTGTTTAGGGCAGGGTGAGGGGACCAAAGTGCTCATTCTATTTCAGCATATTACCTCTTTATTTTTGATTTTGACATTTTAGGTAGAATTGGATGTGAGAGTATAGTTTCCCATTGGTTGTTATTATATGGTGTATTAGTTTCTTTTGCTGAATGACAAATCACTTCAAAATTACTGGATTAAAATAACAATAGTTATTTTTATTATTTTTAGTAGCATCTATGGATGACGACTTCATAACAGGGTACAGTGGGGTTTGCTTGTTTCTGCTCTATAAAATTGGGAATCCCAGTGGGGAAACTCAAGGATTGAAATATGTCATTTGGCTTTTTGAGACAAGGTCTCACTACATAGTTCAAGTTGGCCTTGAACTCACTATGTGGCCCAGGCTGGCCTCAAACTTGCAGTTCTTCCTGCCTCAGCCTCCTGACTGCTAGAATTACAGGTGTATCCACCATGTCCTGCATTGACTGGGATATTTTGAAAGCTCATCTCCTGCGTTGGTTTAACTGAAATTACTGGGTGAAACACTAAAAAGTGTTAGTGTTCTATAGGAAACACCTTACTATTGAGCAAAGTGTATTGTTTGGAAATCTTTGAGTGGGCTTCTGTGTAACATTGAAAGATCATTTGACCGACCTTTTGACCTCTTTTCAAGTTTTGTATCAACACGTGTATTACTAGTAACTAAACTTTACATTTTTATCCTGTTGTCACTAGTTTTTACATTAATGTTTTCTCTTTTAGAATGCTACATTGTGGTTCCTCTCATTAGGTTCCTTTTGGTTCTAACAGTTTCTCAGATTTTCTCTTTTTTCCTTTCTTTTTATTTTTCATAACCTTGACTGAAGAAGTACTGGTTAAATATTTTGCCTGATTTTTTTTCATGATTAGACAGACATTATGATTTTGGGTGCCCTATTTTTTTTTTTAAGAAATTCATTCACTGTTTCCAGACTCTGCCAAAATAAAAGTATATTTCTTTTCACTCCTCTATTTAAAATGGCTTTAACTTTCTTGAATGTCTGCAGAACAAATTCAAGTTACTTAGTATGGAATATAAACTTTTCAAAACCAAGTTCTGGTCTTCCTCTTCAGTTAAAAGTCCTTCTGTACAGTTGATGGTGCTTGCTTCAGCAGCACATACACTAAAATTGGAATGATACAGAGATTAGCATGGACCCGGAGCAAGGATGACAAGTACTATTGATAACCAGCCAGAAATGAAGCTTTAATCATCTTGGCAATGGCCTGGCTCATCCAGGCACTCATTTCTGGCTAATTCTACTGGGATTTTCTTTATCCCCAACAACATTCCTTAATACTCCTTCCCTTGTCCCACTAACATCCATCCCTTTTCCAAATTCCAAGCCTCTTGCCCTATACAGGCTTCTAAATATCTTTAATGAAGCATTTAACGTGTGGTCATTCATTCATTCAACAAGTATTCAAGTGTTTTGTGACAGGCATTATTGTGCGGCTGAGAATATGTTAAAAAGACAAAGTCACTGTCCTCCCTGAATTTACATTTTAGAAAGCAGAACACATTGCAAAAAATAATACTATTTTCCCCTTAGTTACAGAGGAAACAAGAAGCTGAGATTAAGACGGAGGAGGATTGTGGGAGTGAGGACAGTATACTTTACAGTGGTCTAGGGTCCTTTCCGGAAAAACATTATGAACATTGCTTTACTTGCTGGCTGCCAGGCTTTCTTTCCTTTGACTGTCCAACCGGCAGCCGAACTCAGCTTTGTATCCACTACCTGATTCAGCCTTATTTTGTTAACTAATAGCTGTAGAATAAATGCTCCAAAGTATCAAGCAAAAACTGAACCTTTGTTGCCTCTATTGCTAATTCTGGATCTACCCACAGGACAGGTATAGCTCAAATCTGTTTTTGTAAAAACGGATCATCAACATACCCCCAACCGTGGCATTTGAGTCAGACATGATAACTAGGAAACATACAACAGTCACTAGGAAGCTAGTACGGACCTCCTATTTAAATTTTAATTTAGAGGTAAATTTAATTTTCCAAAACTAGATCTTTCATTTCTGTAGTTGATTGGTAAAGCCTGTTACACCATGTGTGGGCAGCTGACACTTTCTACATTCTGCTCGGAGAATGAGGCTTCTCGGGGACCCGTCCTCTAAGGTGACCCACGCCGTCTTCAGAAGGGACAGCGTAACCAGCTCCCTAGCCAGAGGGCGACCTTTGACTCCGCCACTCGCCTTTCTCAAGAACCCCATCTAGTTCCACAGGAACCGACCAGCGACCACGCCCCGCCCACTTCCGGGTTGTCACAGCCGCCGCCGTCGCGTGCGTAATGACGTTGTGAGTCCCCCGCAGACCCCGGAAGTGCAGCTCGAACTTGGCCGGGGCGCGGATCCCGAGAGGGAAAGTCCTGACAACGGCTCGAGGGAGTTCCACTGGCGAGCTGGAAGGCCACGCCTCTTCCCGCCTCCCCCCACAGCCCTGTAGCTGGGGGCAGAGCTCAGGTAGGAGCCGCGTCTGCGGGGATCTGAGCTCCGGGGCAGGCCCGGGTTCCATCCGGGGAGGGGGCTGGCCTGGCTCGTTCGCAGGCGGGGAGAGCTGGCCCTGAGGTCGGAGGCTGTCAGAAACTGCTCTTCGTTTCCAGGGGCACCGCTGACCTGCGTCCCAGACGCTGCTGATGGGCAGTTTCCACTTGCCTTTCCCAGTCTGGACGCGGGAGGCACACACGTGTGTTTCCTGGACACTTGTCTTGTCCGAGCTTACGAGTTTCTGGGAGCTTCTAGACACCTTAGCATCATGGGCGCTCGGGCAGGCATTGCTGGTTTCTGGTTGAAGCGTGTGTGCGTGTGTTTTCCTACCAAAGTGTTATCAACTGCAAGCAGATTGACGTGCAGCTATAAAATGCTTTCAAAACTTTTGACACGAATGACCGTTGGTGTAGCGTGTCATTGGAAGGCAGTGTGAGTTGATACTTCCGACTTTAAAAAAAAGTTAGGTATGTTTTCGAAGTAGGCGTTTCTCTCACCCAGGTATTTGACACACTGTTCTAGTGTTCCAGACTATATATCTGTTGGCCCGAGTAACTGGTTACTTATCTTTTTGGCTATAATTTAGGACGAGCTGGAAAAAAAAAAAAAGAGATGAAAAGGACAAGAGGTTGTTGCATTTGTTAATTTCGCCCAGGTCCTCAAAAAGTCATGGAGGGAAAAGTCTGTGGTTTTCATTTGCAAGTGCCTTGTAGTGTTTATCAAAATAAGTGGATTGCGATGTTTGACATACAGCATATGGTTTGTTTTTCCTTTAAGCAGTGTCAGAGGTGTATTGTTGTTCTTTATCTTTCTTAGTGAGGGACAGGTAAAACGTATTCATTTAGCATATAGAAGCGGAATCAGTAATTTTTCATGCGGTGAAGATCTCAGCGTGAGTGCTACTACCAGGTTTCTTTTTTACTTTTAAATTACTTGTTCCTTCCCCTTACCAATAAAGTCCACACTAAAGGACTACAGATGTTCTGGGTGGTTTTGAGACTTTGGCTGTTTCAACAGTTGTAAATGGTGGACTAGTACTCCGGGAAATATGATTTCTAAAGTGTGAGCATCCATCTACATTCGTTTGGCAAAGAGTTACTGGCCACCTTTAGTGTGCCAAGTAATGCCCCTGGTGCTGCTGGGAAGACAGTAGTAAACAAAACAGAAAGACCTTGCACTTCTGGAGCTTTGTATTTTAGTGGGCGGAGAGCGACAATAAAATTATAATAAAGGTGAAAAGAAAAAGCAATTAAATGAGAGAGAGAAAGAGTGATGGAGGATGCTATTTAACATAGGTTGTTGAAGCTCAGCCTCTTTGATAAAGGACATTTGAGTAGAGATCTGAATGAAGTGAGGACATGAGGTCTGCAGCTGTGTGGGCACAGGTCATTTAGGCTAGCATAGAGAGCCTGAGGCAGCAGCAAGTTTGGCATACGTTGGAATAGCAAGGATATAAGGATTCGATTTTAAAAATCTTACGAAGGAATATTTATTCAGTGATTTGTTGTGTGTATGAGGGGGCATATTGACAGTGTATTTTTTCTGAACATGCCCCAACAGAACTCTATGAGCAAATTTAATATAGGCATGTGGAGATGTTTTCAACTTTTTGTTGAGCTCTAACAAAATTAAATACCATTTACTCAGTTGGATTTAATTTATCCTTCATTTTTGTCAGCTTGGTTTTTCATAGCATTCACCAGGTAGCACATACTCTGTCCTGTGTCAACTTTACTATTCATTCAGCTTTTTTATTGTAGTAAAACATACATACCATGAATACTGTAATTTTAGTAATCTTTATGTGTGCATGCACATCAGCGTCTCCAGAAAGTTTTCATCTTCCCGAAAGGCATTACTTTCCCCATTCAGAGCAAAGCTCTGAATCTGTTTAAACTAACTCCTCATTCTTGACTATCCTCTGCCCCTGCAGCTACCAGTCTACTTTCTGTGCCTATGACTTTTTTTTACCCTCTTTGGTACTGGGAACTGAACCCAGGGTCTTTGCATCAAGCTACATTGCCAGCCCTTTTAAAATTTTGAGACAGGGCCTCACTGAGGTGCTCAGTTGCCCATGCTGGACCCTCAGTTATGATCCTTTTCCCTCAGCCTCCAACAATGCTGAGATTAGAAATGTACCCTGACAAGCCTGGCTGTGTCTATGAATTGAACTATCATAGATTTCTCATGTAAGTGCAGTCATGTAAGTGAATCATTCATCTGTGTTGTCTTGTGTTACATTTTGCTGAGACACAATACCCTGTACTCACAAGTAAAAGGAGGAAAGGTTTAGTTTCAGCACAGTTTGTAGAAGTTTCAGTCCATAATTGGCTGGCTCCAACGTAGGGTGGCCTGTTGAGGGGCACTGCAGAGGAGAAACAGTTCATGGTATGGCAGGCAGAAGGCAGCAAGCACCAAGACTGCTTTTTCCTTTTATCCCATATAGGCTACAAGCCACACCAATGGTGGGGCTTCCCATTATCCACACCCAGATATATGCCCACCAATCAGTGGAATAATGTAGTTATCATACCCTTAATCTATATCCACACATCCTTAATCCACATTCACACACCCTGTATTTGGATACCTCTGAAAAGCCCAACCTGTGAGTGCAGGAGACTTTGAGGGTCATCTGGGCACAAGCCATAACATATGGGCATTAATTTGCTTCTATGGTATGGTTGTTGTAAATAATGCTCCTATGTGTGAAAAAATTCTTTTCTGATCCCTGCTTTCATTTCTTTTGATTATCTATGCAAAAGAAATTGCTAGATTATAGGATAAATTGCTATAGTCTGAATCTAAAGTATTACCGAGAAGGTAATATTTTAAAGGTGTTGTTCCTAGGGAGGCACATGATAGGACATGATGGAACCCTCCATATTTGGGCCTGATGAGGGGTTTAGTTTATTTTGGATGTGCCTTAGAGGAGATGGTGGAGCCCTGCCACTTCCTCTTCTTGCTCTCGCTCTCTGCTCATGGGGTGTTTTTTCTGTACCAACTCCTCCTGCTGTGATGTGCTGCCTTGCTACAGGCCCCAAATCTGTGGGGCCAACAAACCATGGACTGAAATCTCTGAAAATGTCAACCTGAATTAAACTTTTCTCATTATAAGGTGATAATTTCAGTATTTAAGTAGTGGAAAGTTGACTGACACAGAAAATTGTGTTTAATTTTTTGAAGGACTGTCTACTCTTTTCTAAAACATCTATCCCATTTTACATTCCCACCAGCAGTACATAGGGATTCCAGTTTCACCATTTCCTCATGAAACGTATTTTCTGGTTTTTTGATAATAGCCATTTTCAGAAATGTAGAGGAATATCTGTAGTTTTGATTTGCATTCTCCTAAAAAATGGGGATGTTAAGCATGACCTTTAAAGAGCAGGTTGCTTACCACCATATGTTTTGTTGCTTCTTTAACCCTAATTTACTAAAATTGTAAACTCATCAATTGTCTGTAGACCAGGTATCTACGATAACTCCAAACTGTAGCATCTTTTATACCAATGAACAAAGTTTTTGGTATCAGATAGTGATGACAACAGTTCAGAAAAGTCGAAGATAATCCTGATCTGCCTTGTTTTTTAAATTTTTTTCCTTTGGAAGCAAAGAAGTGTATTGATTGGCTAACTGTGCCTGTGAGGTAGACTTCTTTACTTTAGAAGTTGAGAAGAGCCAGAAACACCTAAGCCAGAAATGATGAAGAAACAGAGAAGAAATGTGTCAGATAGCAGTATAACAATTGGCTGTAGATAGATGGACAGTGGCAGAAGAGATCAGGAGCAGCGATAAACAACGAGTACCACAACTGACAGCAGAAGAAAGGTGACCCAACAAACTGGCAGAAAGTAATAAAGTTCTATAGATTAGAATGGGATGGAGAGAGGGTAGTGTACAGATTGCCAGCTACATCTCACCTTGTGGTTCTGAAATGAGGTATATTAGTTCAGGAAGATCTACTATGTAGCAAGTAATATATGTCAGTTCATGCACTTCAGTGGTGCTTGGAAGGTGTGCACTGTGTCTGCTTCTATGGAAATAAACTAAGTTCTTCAAACCATGTATTATATCATTTCCATTCATAGAATAGAGAGATTTAATTGAATAATTGGTTGTGTAATCTAACAACGTTCAACATCATTGAATTTTTTTATATATAATCTGTTTAAAAATGAAAGGATTTTTAAGATCTAGAAAGTCCAGTTGTCCATTAGTTTAAGGTAGCACATATTTTTCATTTGTTCTTAAACTACTGAATATTTGCACACTTAATGTGTATGAGATTCTTTCTGGGCTGCTGAATTTAGCTAACTGAGCTACGAAGCTCACTTAAGTGGATTGCATTACTTTAAGTAATGAATGAAAAATTGCTCCATAGTTTTCCATATCATCCTTTGACAAACTAAAATTGGTCAATTTGTGCAGATGAGGTGGCAGACTTGTTCAGGGTTGCACAGCTAAGTTAAAGAAAGGTTTTGAGATAGCAGTGTTGTGCTGCTTTCTGTGATATTGTTGTTTCCTTTTTTGGGAAACTTCATTCTGCACTATGTGTAATTGAAATACTTTCTTCCTTCACAGAAAATATCTCCGTGAGGACAGATCATTGAAGCAAACCATTTATTGTGTTTTCCCATTTCTTTATAGCAGATTTTATATTTATCTTAAGCATAGCTTAGATTGATAATATACTTAGGCATGATTTGCTCAGGGGCTAGAGAGGTGATAATAAGACTCAGATTGTGAATTTGGACCTTGGTAAAGCCCTTTAATTGCTCTTTACAGGAATGATTACAACCAGTACCCAGTAGTGTTACTGCTGACTGCTTTGGGATGAAGGTAACATTCCTATCCCCTGCTAATCACGCTGCCATAATATGTAATCAGGTTTAAGAAAGCAGCAGGAGAGATAATATATGTAGCTCAACAGGCACAGTGCTTCTGTTTAAAAAGCACTGCAGAGTAAATATCCA